AGGACACTTGGGTGAGTCATCACCGTGATCCAGTATCTGGGCTTGGTGCATTGACAAATTACCTGCTGACTCTGCACTTTTCAAAAAGCAAGTGGGCTTTTTTTTTTTTTCTTTGAGCACGACTGAGTGCTCAACTGTGTTTTGACCCGCTACTTTCAGGTGGCTTATGCCAGATCCTGTCGACCAGATGCTGAATAGGACAATTTTCCCTGAGGGAATTGGAAAGCCTGTTTCAAGAAGCTTTTATGTTTCCAGAAGGATTGAATTTTCAGCAAAGCATTTCCATAAGTCTCCTGTCCCCTAACTAGAGAACAGTGTTCAAATAGAAAGTGATGTGAGACAAGCACAGCTTTAGGCATCCAGGCTGTGGTGATGTCAGGCCTCTGGGCCTGAAGCAAAGCAGCCCACGGGGTCCTTGAATCCATCTGATGTTTCATGCATGGAGTTTGTACCTTGACTTGTCTTATCTTCCCTGGCTATCCCCATGCAGACAACCAGAAAGAATTCAGCTTGGCTTGAGTTTAAGTAAGTTTTGGAAGGAGTTACTGGAAGATTTGGAAAGAAAATGATGCTGTTGCTTGGTTACTTGCTGAGCTGGCCTTGCTGTCACTTGTAGCCATCTCGCTAGAAGACATTTGTTAAGTGAAGTCCCAAGAGGCTTCTTGTGTGGTCACTACATGAAAACACACTCTTCCAAATAGCCACTGGCATCAATATTCTGATCGCTCTGAACTTGCTCAAGACTAGAAAAGTTGGTGCAGCCCCACTGACTTAGCTAACAGAAACAGCCACAAACACCTCCAGTTTTGAAGCGTGGAGGGGGCTTGTCACTGCAGTTTGTTTTTATTCCACCACAAAGGGATGATGATAGGGAAGGTGAGGTGGAGGTGCAGAGCTGTGGGAATATGGCTGTGACATGAGGTACATGGTTATTCCTTGAGGATTTCCCTTCTGCCTCAGTTTCCTTCTTCGCGAAGTGGTCTTCCATGGCTGGTGGGTTCCAGTTAAATCGAATACCCCCTTCTTTCCTGCTCCAAGGAGCATCTGTAAGGCAGTCCCTCTGCCAGGCTGGGACCTTGCCCACAGTTGCACAAGAGGATGCAGACATTGTAGGGGAGTTCACCCTGCCCAGGACTCATGGAAATGAATTGGTGCTCCACACACAAAGGTCCCCAACCACCATGGACAATGCAGTAGGGCAAGCAGGGCAGTGCTGGGGACCAAGAGAGGGAGCAGAGCGAGGGAGACTACATCAGAGGGACAAGCCTAAGTATCAGCCAGGCAGGAATGATTCCTTCCTGCTCCTGAAGGAATCAGCATCCAAAAAATGTTGCCCATAAGAAAACAGGCTTAGTGAGTTGACTGTCCCCTTCTTTCCAAAAACCTGACCAGAAGGGTCTGTTGGTGAAGGGAGAGAGAAACCATAGTGGGACAAGGTGCAAGCTGTTATGGGAGTCAGGATCCATCCTGGGCATACATCCACTGGGACTAGTTCTCAAGGAATAATTAGAGGCAAATGGGGCCTTTATCTTCATCTGAGGTTCTGGCACACTTCTGATTTAATGTTTGTGAGCAGGGTGACAGGACAGTCTCAGAACTGTGTTTTTCAACCTGTGGTGGAGGTACCCAGAGGATTTATAAGTGTAAAAGCAAAGAGAGATGGAGCAAGTGAGCAGGGCTGGAGCCAGGATCACCACTTTGGTTAAAGGCCCCCATGGGCAGGAGCACATTGCCGTACCCACTGCAGTGGGGAGTGCCCTCAGGAGGAACAAGTCTGTTTGCTGGTGGAGCTGAACAGACACAAAATCTCCCTCAGTTATATGGGATTTTTTTTCTGTATAAACTTGCTAATTGAGTTGTAAAATAAAACTGCAGCCCTTCCTCTCCAATTTCTGCTGCTGCAGCAGCGTGCTAATTTGGTTTTGGAAGGGGGCTGGTAGATGGTGGCTCTTTGCCAGTGTGAAATTATGCGCAAAAAGTTTGCAGTGGGAGAGAAGGTAGCCTGTCCTCAATGCAAGGAAGGACTGGGGGCAGGAGCTGCTGAGCAGGGCTGGGGCAGCTTGGGAAGGTCCTGCAGCTGGGCTGGGCTGGGCTGATGGAAATTCAAGAAAGCCCAGAAGGGTTTAAATGAAGTTGCAATGGAGAACAGATGGGAAAGTTAGCGCTTGTGCACCTCGGTACATGCTGTGTGGTTGAGAGGATGAGCTGTGGGAATTCACATCTACCCTCCAGCATGGCCGGGCAGGATTTGCTTCTTGGGTCTGTGTACCCATGTGTATGTGTGTGTGTGTGTGTGTGTGTGTGTGTGTGTAGGAACGCCTTTGGTGTGGACATGTGTGCCTGCTGTGTGCACACACGTGTGTCCGTGTCGCTCTGGGTGGTGTGGGTATGTGCGTGCCTGTGTTGGGTCTCCATACAGACAGTGAGGACAGGGATCTGGGTCTCATCACCCAGCAGCACAAGGCTCTGTCACGGGGACAACTGTGCACAGGAACAAGCATGGTGTGGTGCAGACTGATGCAGAGGAACCCACTGCTCAGCTCTGCTGACTTGCACCAGGCAAGGATTTGGCCCTGCTGCCCGAACCTGGGGCTAGGAGGACTGGTCTGTGGGGAAAAAAATAAAATGTGGGGAAAGAAAAAACAGAAAGCACAGCCTGACTGTCTGTTGCATCAATGTAACTTTAATTTTTGAAAGACAAACAGGAAAGATTCAGTGACAGTTCCAGTCCCAGGGTGAAGCCCAGGGTTACACATGTGTGGCAGGTACATGCACCCCAACATGCAGAAAGGATGTAAAGTCCCAGGGGACCCAGGGCATGGACCACATTCACCATTTTTGTACCTTTCACTGTTTCACATAAAACTGACTGTGTGAAACAATTCCAGGCAGGAGGCTCCAGAAACCATTGCAAGAAGCCCAGAGGTTTATGGGTAGGTTTGCCTGCCCATTTTCTAGAATTTGACAGTCCTTCCTGTCCCATCATCCTTTCATCCTTCTGCTGATCCTTTTGATCCCTTCTCTGGGCAGCACTGGGAAGGGAGCGCTGCCATACCCTTCAGTGGGAGCATCAGGAGCATAGTTTGTGACCCTGGAGTTACTGGTTGAGGTGGAATTGAGTGGGGCAGCACCAGATAGTGTTTTTCAGCTTTCTCATCTTTGGGAAGAGGTGCCCTGAACACTCAGCCCTGTTGCCACCTGCTCCAGTTCTGTGAGGGCTCCCAAGTGGCATCTCAGCACCCTGACCACAGGGGAGTGAGGCCTCAGGGGCTGGAAGATCTTGTCAGATGCTTTCAAAAGTGACCTTTAGTGTCTAAACATCATCAGGCTGGATTTAGTAAGGAACTGACAAAAGAATAATATTGAAGCTTTCCTCTGCCTCCCCTTCCTTTGCCTCCTGCCCCAGCTGGGTTAAGGCTCCTGGTGGTCACTAACTGCTGGGTGGGTGCTGCCAGTGGCAGCGTGCAAGGCCCTGTGGTCTGTGCAGAGTGTGAAACTGCTGTGCAAGCCACGTAAGCTCTGTGGAAGGGCTGTGCAAGTCTGGTGCAAACTCCGTGTAAGGGCTGTGCAAGCCCTGTGCAAATGCCTTGCAAAGGCTGTGCAAACTGTGCATAGTGTGCAAACGGCTTTGGACCTGGCCATCTGACACTGAGAGGGACAGGGATTTCTCGGGATGGGGATTTCTTGGGGTGGTGTCATGGGAGCTGTGTCCATGTCTCTGCACAGCGTGTGCGTTCATACCGAGCAGATCCGCTGGTTGGCATTAGAAACCCACTCGTGATACTGTGACAAAGCACCTGTAAAACTACAGCAGAAAGAAATCCGAGAGGCTGCAGTGACAAATGCTCGTGAGAAGCGATTGTTTGGGGGGGGGGGGAAGAAAAAAAAAGCCGTGTTTGTTTTGGCAAAACACCTACATTCCTTCAAATAAATCATCGCAGCCCTTGTTTTTGTATTTGTGGAGAAATCGCAACAGACATAACCAGGGACTTAAGAGACTTGAAATAACATCCTAGTAAATACCCCACTTTGTTATTTTAATCGAGACCCAAGGAAACATCTGAATTTTACCAAGGAAACCCTCCGTGCAAGGGAAAACATCAGCTCGCAGCCTGGCCGGGGCTTTGTTTTGCTCCGGTGTCGGGCTACCGAGGCGGAATTGCCGAGGCCGATGGAGGTGCAGGGCAGCCCGGGACAGTCGCTCCGGCTTCCCCGACGCTCCCGGCAGCATCAGCCCCGCAGGCCAGTCTGAGGGGTGGGAAGTCCGCCCGAAACGTGGGTGAAGGTTCCTCAGTTCGAAAGAGAGCCGGGGTCTGCCCCATGTCCAGTGTGGGACCAGTACGGGGTGGTGTGGGACCTCCTCCAATACAGGGGCGCCTTCCAAAGTACGAGACGGACACAACTCCCATCCGCATCCCCCCTAATTAGGCTGGGTTGTCGCCGCGACACGGGGCTGTGGGATGCAGCTCTCCCCGACAAATGAGGGGTGCGAGTGCCCCCACGGGGGGCGTAGGTGCCTCCCACCAGACGGGGCCGGAGCCTGCGGGTGTCTCACCTGCCTGGGGAGGCGGGGCGGGGACCGGGCAGGGGGTCTCCGAGTTAGGGTCTCACCTGCAGGCAGAGGTGGAGCGGGGACGGGCGTTCTCTCACCTGCCGGGGGAGGCAGAGCGGTGTCCGAGGGGACGGTCCGGGGGGTGCCACCTGCAGGCAGAGGCAGGGCAGGGTCAGGAGGGATCCGGGGGGGTGGCACCTGCCGGGGGAGAGGTCCGGGTCCAGGGAGTGTCCGGGGGGGTCCCACCTGCCGGGGGAGGCGGGGCGGGTCCCGGGGCGCGGGCGGTGCCCGGGCGGGGAGGGGCGAGCGGCCGGCAGGGGAGCCCCGGCGGCGGCGGGCGGACGAGGAGCGGCGGTGGCGGCGGCGGCGGCGGCGGCGAAGACGATGTTCAAAAGCGGGCGGGGAGCGGCGGCGGCAGCAGCTCCACGCCGAGCCCCGGGCCGCCGCCATGCGCCTCCGCGCCGCCGCCGCCGCCCTCTGCCTCTGCCTGCTGGGCGCCTGCCGCCTCCGCCGCGGGCTGGAGGCCGCCGCCGTGCGCGGCCCGTCGGCGGCCGCTCCCCAGCGACCCTCGGCAGCCGCGCCTTCCTCCGCCTCCTCCTCCTCCGCCGCCGCCGCCGCCTCCCCCTTCTCCTCCCCGCCGCGGAGGGACGGGGCTCTCCGCAACGGCACGGTGGTGCCGCACCACTACATGGTGGCCCTGTACCAGCGCCTGGCCGCCCGCCGCGGCCCCGGCGGCCGCGCCGACACCGTCACGGGCTTCGCGGAGCGGGCGCGCAGCGGTGAGTGCGGGGAGCGCGTCCCCCCGGGACCGCGCCGTCGGGGATGCTTGGGCTTGGGAACGGGCGTTAGGATGAGGATGGGGCTTGGGGATGGAGACGGGGCTGTGCGTGGGCGCGGGGATCGGGCTTCTGCGTGGGTGCGGAGATGGACGCGGGATTGCGCATCACTTCGAGCGTGAGTTTGGGGACGCGGTGGCAGCGCAGAGAGGGAGGTCGCGCGTCGGTCCAAACGCGGGGCTGTGCCTGGGATGGGGTTGGGGAACGGGACTGTGCGTTGGTTTGAGCACGGGGTGGTTGCAGGGGTTGGGGGTAGCTCACGGGATGGAGCTTCACGGGACAGGGGCTGCGCGTCCCAGTTGTTTAACGGGAATGGAGCCGTGCGCTAGACGGAGCGTGGGAATGGGGACGAGGACAGTTCTGGTAGTGGGGTTGTGCGTGAGCATAGGGCTGGGGCGACGATAGTGACAGCAAATGGTTTGTGTCTGGAGCTGGGAAAAGGGATTGCAGATGGAGATGAGCGTGAGGTCGGAGGAAGCGATGGGGTTGCGCGGTCAAGGATGACGTTCAGGGCTGGGGCTGGGGTTGGGGTTGGGGACGGTGTGCGAGGTGCAGCCAGCCGGGCCGGGGCGGGCGGGTGTGCGGGCGGCTCTCGGAACCTCCCGCCACCTGATGCGGGGCCGGCGGCTGCGGCGCAATTTTGAGGCAGCTTCTCTGCTCGGCACCCCCGGGACCGGGAGCGAGAAGACCCGCCAGAGCCTTTGCAGCTCGAAAAACTCCGCAGGGCCCCGCGACGGGCCGGGCCAGGCTGGGGAGGGAGCTCAGACGCCGTGCCCCGAGAGCACTCCGGAGCCGGCTCCCGCCGACCCGCCGGCTGAGCTCGGCATCGCGCTCCCCTTCTCCTTCTCCCCCTCCTTTTGCCCTCTTCATAGCCGCGAATCTAATGGTGATAATCAAATAAACACATAAACGCACTTGATCATATATTTTTAACATGTGTATGTCGCACCCTGCCGCCAAAGTTCGCTCGGCTGGGGGAGAAAAATTTATAAATTCCCGATCGAATAAAATTAAAAGGCAAACTGAAAAGCAGCCCCAGTCCCAACCTCCCCGCGGTGCCTGTCGCCGGCTGCCCCGGGGTGGGAGAACGGCGGCTGCTGGTGCGGAACCCCCCAAGCCCATCCCCACACCCAGATCGGGTCGTATCCTGCCGGCGGCCTTTGGAGGGAAAGGGTGCTAAAAGCTGATAGGGCAAGGTCAGGGGAGCGAGGTGGGACGCGGGGAAGATGATCCGGTGGGAGGGTGGGCAGTGCCCGGCTTGAGAGAGCCGGGGGAAAACTGCATAGGTCCTGGGAAGTTTCAGAGCAAAACGAAACCAGATGAACTCTTCAAAGGGATCTCCTTATCTGCTCTTATCTGCTTCGCACAGGAACTTTAGATCTGCTTTTAAAATAATAATTATAATAATGACTATAATGAATAATAATAATAAGGATAATAATAATAATAGTAGCAGCAGCAGCAGATGACAGGGAGAAGATTGTTTCCCCCCTGGCGGACGGTGCAGGCTGCACCCAGCGGGGCTGCGGTGTGAGGATGTCGGACAGGGCTCTGCCGACAGCGGGTCAAGGGGCTCGGGCACAGCAGCGATGTTTGCAGCATGCCCAGGTCAGGTTTCTCGTTAACGAGGGAGAAAATAAATAACAACCCTCCCAGAACTCATTCATTTCTTCTCCCCAATGCCACCTCCTTTGGTGTTTTTTTGGGGGGTTTTGTTTGTTTTTGGTTTGTTTTTTTGTGTGTGGGTTTGTTTGTTTGTTTGTTTTGGGGTTTGTGTGTGTTTGGTTTTTTTGTGGTTTTTTTGTTTGTTTTGTTTTGTTTTTTCTTTTTTTGTTTGTTTTTTTTTTTTTTAATTCACATTGAGTATATTTAATCAGTGCCAGAAACTGCACAAGTCTGTGTTTGGGCTTTGGATCCACCAAAAACAGTGACAAAGTGAAGCTGGGCTCACTTTCAGCCTCTGGTGGTGCCTCTATCAGGCGTGTGTCTGTGATGGGAAAATGGAATTTTTCACAACTTTTTACTTGGTGTGGCTGGGGCTCTCTGTGTGTGTGACACTTAGGGCAGAAGAAATCGATGACCATCTCCTGATTGGAAATGGGATTGTGGCACACAGGTTCAGATGAGCCTTCCATGCCAAAACAGAATAGTGGCACAACTAAGGTCACTGGAACACCCAGGAGGAGGCAGAGAAGCCTCCCTGGGCCATGGGAAGGAGTGCTGATGAGAAACCACTTGATTCAATTGATACCTTCCTCCCTCTGTACCTTCTCCTCCTTGTTTGTTTTTGGTGCCTCCAGCCGGAGTGACGCTCTTGGACGCAGGACACACAGGCTGTGTCCTGCTGGGATACTCAGTGAGCCTTGCTGCACGGCAAGATCTTCCCTCTTAGCTCTGTGTCCCTTGCACCTCCCTAATGAAAGCTTGGCTTCATCTTGCTGGGATTTTAAATTTTTTTTTTCCTTTTTTTTTTTTTTTTCTCCTCTGTGTTATCTCTTCCAGATGCCTCCCTATTCGCCTCCGAGCAGCGATACCTCTTTGACATCTCCAGCCTGCCTGAGGCAGAGGAGGTGACGGGCGCAGAGCTGCGGGTCCTGCGCGCCCTCCCTGAAAACCGGAGCTTGGCCCTGTCCTCTGAAGGCACCTTCCACCACCTCCTCCTTTCCACCTGCCCAAACCAGGATGGTGAGGAGCCCCGGCTACTGGACTCCAGGGCTGCAGACATTTTGGATGCAGGCTCCTCCAGATGGGAGGTTTTTGATGTCTGGGAAGCCTTGCGAGATCGGAGGGAGAGATCTCTCTCGGGCACGCTGCTGTGCTTCCTCCTGAGGATCGTCTCGGATCAGTCGGGGCAGCTCCTGCCCCCCCGGCAGCTGGGGTTCAGCAAGCCCCAGCCCCAGCCCCATGAGCGAGCCCTGCTCGTGGCCTTCTCCCGCACCCAGAGGAAGGAGAATCTCTTCAAGGAGATCCGGGATAAGATCAAGGCCCTGGGCAGCTCCCCATTCCTGGAGCCCCCCGATCCTGGCCAGGAGTTGTATCCCAAGCGGAGGAAGAGAAGGACCACGATTGCTGCCCGGTCTGGGGGCAGAGGCCATGGGAAGAAGGCGAAGACCCGCTGCAGCAGGAAACCCTTGCACGTGAACTTCAAGGAGCTGGGCTGGGATGACTGGATAATCGCCCCCCTGGATTATGAGGCGTATCACTGTGAGGGGGTCTGCGACTTCCCCCTGCGCTCCCACCTGGAGCCCACCAACCATGCCATTATTCAGACCCTGATGAACTCCATGGACCCAGAGTCCACCCCCCCGAGCTGCTGTGTGCCCTCCAAGCTCAGCCCCATCAGCATCCTCTACATAGACTCTGGGAACAATGTGGTTTACAAACAGTATGAGGACATGGTCGTGGAGACGTGTGGCTGCAGGTAGCAATTTCTGCAGCTCTCCTCCTCCCCACCCCTCCCTGCCCTGCCCAGCAGCCCTGCCCCATTTTATATATATAAATATAGATATATATATAAAATATATATATATACACACATACACATTTTGGTGTGTGCCTTTCTAAAAGCCAAGCTCAGAGCAGCTGTCCCTTGCCTTCCCTGGGCTGCCCTGGCCATGAGCCCTCCAAGACTGTGAGGCTGATGCCATCTTTGTGCCTTGCCTGCTCCCCATGGGAAAGGGGAGGTACACAGAGCCCCCAGGAAATGCCTGTTCTGCCTATGAGCTCTGCCTGCTAGGCTTGATTTTCCCAAGGGGAGCTGACGCTTTCTTTCCCAAAGGTTTTGGAAAATGTCTGGCCAAAATTGTCTCAGTGGGAATGATGACCTTGGGTTGGGGGGCAGATGGAGTGGTGGCTGTGGGAGAGGAATCTTGTCAGCATCACCCTCTAGCTGTGGCAGTGGGATGGAGGTGAGGTGGGAATGCTCATTTATTTGAGTTAAAGGAGTTCTTCTGTCTGCCTTCAAATTGCTGCCCCAGGTTTTCTGGTGGAAAAAGGAGGGATCCATGGGAGAAGGGAGGGGGAGGAGAACCTGTGGCTGCTGGAGGTTGAAATCATTTGGTCCAGGCCTGTGTGCAGTGGGAAGAGATTTGTGAGTCTGCTGGTGGGGACAGGAAAGAAGGTCCTTGTAACTGGAGGCTAAAGCAAGAGTCAGGTCTGAAGTAGAGCTCGTGCTGTCAAAAAAATGGGAATGGTCCTGGGAGGTGTTAGCTGGGGGTGCCCTGGCTCCATGTAGTCCAAAGTGCTGGCCCTGTTGTTGATGTCCTGCGGGAGGTACTGGCTGGTGAGTCCCCTCCCTTTCCTGCACAAAACCCCATTTCCAAGGCATACTGGGAAGGCGGCATCAGGCCCACAGTTCACACAGCCGTACTTAGCATGTCTGGAGAAAAACAAAGGTCCTGAGTTCCCCAGGGAAGAGCCATTTTGCTTGAGTTCTTCTTTTTCCAAATAATCTCTGTAAAAGCACTAAGCTCCACCCTATCTTCCTTTGGCATCAATTTCCCAGTAAGCTCCATCCCTCCCTGGAGCACCGGCCTCTCCCTGCTCCATTAAAGGAGCCTGGATCTGCCAGGAATGGACCTTTCCCATGCTGTGGGCTGAATGTCACCCTTGGAGACTGCTACATAAAATGGGGTGCTTTGACCCGTGCTGAAAGGGCTGCAGGATTTTTGCAACTCAGGAGCTGAGTATAAATTATGCCTTTAAATCAGAGAAACCTCGCATCCATGGCAGGGTGTGCTTTTGATGTTGGGAACTGTTTCTGCTGCACCTCAGTGGCTTTTGGTACCAAACTCTGGCTTCACAGCTGGGTTGGTGTAGACCACAGGTGTATTTGCACAGACTTTGTGTTTGATGGTTTGTTTTTTACTGGTGGTCAGAGTGTTGGTATGTAAACATCAGTGCTTATTAGTGACAGTAGTTTGCTTTTGGAGGAGATAAATCCCTGCTGGAAAATATGGTGTTTTCCCTATATGAAACCAGTTGTCCTCCATGGCAGGGGTGTTCTGCTGGGAAGGCTGGACCTGGCCAGGGCAGAGAGGGGGTCGTCTCAAAGAACTCTACTGGAATCCAAATGATTTCAAGGATCAGAAAAGCCTTGGTGAGGTCAAACAGCCACTTCCCCACAAGAAAATAGTGCATCAGCAGGGAATAAACTGTGCACACTGATAATGGTGATAGATCCACTGGGCTAACACCCCCCAGCTTTCCTCTGTCCTCATCCACAGAGGCTTGCTCTGCATCCTCAGGCTGTGGCTGGTGGCAACTCAGGAGAGCAAATGTGGTACCCGTAAGTCTCGTGTAACCCCCTTGACTCCCGTGGAGCTCCTCCAACTTTACATACATGTATCCAAGAGGAAAACCCATCTCCCTACCTCAGCATGAATGTAAATATATATTAATGATGTAACTGTCCCCAGGAGGATGCTCAGAGGTGGAGGTTGGTGGAGCAGAGGAAGAATCAGGTCCATGCGGGTGGGGTTTCTCCCTGCCAGCACCTGGGGAGGCTGAGATGGAACTAGTGGGTGAGGAGGGATCGGCAGGAGGGATGGTGGCTTTCCTTTGCCCTTTGGCTTTAGCACAGATGGTTTAGGAAGGAGGTTGGCACAGCAGTGCTGGAGCTGCCTGCTCTGGAAACACCGCGCCATTTATAAAGTTACCAAGCTTTTGAAGTACCTAATTTTTCAGTTGTCATGGGTTGTTTGATAGTTTTTCTCACTGCTGAGACAATATTTTTTAATGTTTTTGTTTCTCTTACCTCTTCCCCTTCCTCCAAATATTTGCGGTGGAGGTTTGTGGGCAGTTCAGATCCAGGCAAGAGATATATATAGCTCCTGGCAGCCCCCACAGGCTGGTGGCTCTTGTGAGCCTCAGCCAAAAGGTTGGCCTGAGACCTGCTCCTGTGGGACCAAGTCCAAGGGGGTGTTAATACCAGTGACCTTCAGTTCTTGTGGCTTTTGTTCAGCCACAGCTGCAGGGAACAGACAGCTGTTGCCCACCTTAGGCCTGGAGGTGGCTGATGGGGAGCAGGGTGATGGGTTGGATCTTGCAGTGCTTCACCCCAACGCCAGTGCTGTGTGCTGTGCTCTGCTGAGGCTCTGCCCTGAACCCCACTGTGGCTTTTCTGGTCCTGGGGGGAAGTTTTGTAGCCTGGATCAGTACGGTAAACAAGGATTTGGGGAGAGCGCAGAGGCCGCTGCTGGCAGTGATGCCATCCATGGTTTTGCCCATCTGGGAATCAGTCCTGGCTCTCCTGGCTGCAGGTACCTCTCCCTGAGCAGGCATGTTTGGTGGGGCAGCAAACTTCAGCCCCCCGAGGTGAGCTGTGGGGCCCTTTGTGCTCGCCCCCTGGTGACACTGCTGTGCCAGCTGCTCTTTTAAAGGAGCACCTGCTCCTTTCCTGGGCAAACAACCTCTGGAGGACAACAGGAGGGAAAAGGATGGAGTCAGACCCTCTTTCTGCTTGCCTAAGGAGATGGAAGGCAGCCCGGGGCTACTCCATGGGAATGTGTATGTGTGGGGCAAGGCTGGAGGGGAGCGGGGCTGAGGCTCTTGATGGGTAACTGTGTTCCTCCCCCTGGGAAAGTGTATCAGCTGCAATGCTCGGCTGTCACATTGCTTATTGCTCCCAGAGGAGCGTTTCCAGAGCAAAAGCACCACTTGTCCCTTTATGGATCCCTGCATGCCAACTGCCAGGGCTGCCTCTCCATTGCCAGGCGGATTTGGAAATTGCACCCAAACACTGGAATGAGGCTTAGGCAACAACTGTCAGAGCCGCTGCAAATGTTGAGAGGTTTAGATTATATATTAGGGGGAAAAAAAAATTCATGGAAAGGGTTGTAAAGCATTGGAACAGACTGCCCAGGGAGGTAGTAGAGTTGCCATCCCTTGAAGTGTTCAAAAAAATGTGTGGATAAGGCAATTGAGGATGCAGTTTCATGGTGAACGTGGTGGTGGTGCTGGGTTGATGGTAGGACTTGATGGTCTTTTCCAGCCTTAATGATTCTGTGACTCTCAGTGGAAGTGGTGGGTGTGAAAGCCTTTTCTGGACAGGGAGGTTCCCTCAGCTGAGCTGTTGCAGCCCTGCCATGTTGGGGCAGGTAGGTGGGGCACTGACTGCAGGATGGTGGCAGCCCAGCCCTCATCCCTGAAGCTGGTCCTCGGCTGAGCATCACCCTCTAATGCTGTAGAAACAGTCCAGGAAAAACGTATTTCTGATCAGTTGCCTCTTGCCTGAGCTGATTTTTGGCCACATGTAAACTTTATAAATATGAGACTAGAGGTTGAACATGGACAAATATGAATTCAGTAGGCTCAGAGTGATTTTAATGGATAATTATAGGTTCTTATTCTGCAGTATTTATACAACCTTTCCAGTTTAAAAAAAAAAACAAAACCAAAACCAGTTTCCATGCAGTGTATATCCTCCTGGAGGATTTGTTTGACCTTGAGCACCATTTTTATCTGCAGGATATAATTACAGTGAAACTAGAAATATTAAGCATTTGAAAAAGACTATGTATCTATGCTTAACTGGCTCCCTCCCCTCAGACATGGGAATGTAATCATGCAGGAGCAGGGAAATGTGGAGTGATCCCATTTGACTTGGAAGCACTGGGGCTGCGATTCAGGGAAGCACACCTGGTTAGGAGACAGGACTGGTGTCTGTGCCTTGAGCTCTGCAAAACCAAACACTGTGCTTAAGCCACTGCCTGCACCATGGCCTGAAGCCCCCTGTCCAGTGAAGCTCCATAGCAGGAATAGTCAAAAGCAAAATGGTTTTATGCCTGGTTTAACTGCCTAGTGACCAGGGGTGCTTCTGGCCTAGGAATAATGCCCCCAAAAAACATCCTTTTTTCTTTTAAGGAATGGTTAATTTTTGCTTCTCTTAAAATAGGGGTTTTATCTATCCACACACCCCATTTTTTTTTTTTTTAAACATATTTCAAATCCAGTGATAGAAGGGAAATTACTATCCTCTGGAAAAGAGAAGGGTGTTCATATGGAAAAGGGCTTGATTCAGGGTTGCAGCATCTTCTCCCGGGCATAGCTGTGTTGATTCTGGTCAGCACTGGCAGACAAGACCACGTCTTCTTTGTGTGTTGGCTGACGCTTGGCATACTCGTAAGGAAAAGACTGCAAAGGTATTAAAAGTGAAGCCCAAGCCTTGAGCCTTCTGCTCAAGTCCGAGTGCCAGTGACTCCTGGGTGTTTTTGCACCGTGTGGGTTTTAACTCAGGCTGTGGTTACACAGATGTCACTGGGTGATGCTGCAGTGATTTATCGGTCACACTCCCATTGCAAAACAAGCAGCTTCTTTTACAGTTTTAAGCCCTTATGCCACAGACCAAAAGTGGTATTTAGGGACAGTCACCTGTGCTGGCCCCCACGTAACAGCAGGCACACGCTCTGCTCTTGGCAGCACTGCCTCTCCAGGGAAGAGACAGAGAGGCTGGGGCATCACTTAGGACCCCTGGGGGATGTGGGTCCCAGGGGACCACAGCTGGGCAAGTGGAGTAGAGCACCCTGGAAGTTCTGATGGGATGTCACAGCTTTGCTCTCCAGACTTAACAGGAGTTTTGCCATGAGCAAAACTTGTGCTTCTCTTGACAGCAGCATTTGCAGTTACTCGCATCAAAACCCCATGACCTATGTTAATGTGATAGATACGTCATAAATACCAATCCAGCTCATACTCTTGTTGGAACAAACCTGGTGGGAAATGTCAAGGTTTCCTGCCAAGCATGTAGCGAGTTCTGAAATCCAAGTGCCTTCTCTTTTGTCTGTGCTGGAGCAGCAGGGCCACGTGCCAGGGAGAAAAAAACTATGTGGGGCAATGGCAATGAGAGTCTGGGTATTTCACAGAGGTTGTCACCCTAAGCGGGGCTGTACCACTGGGTTTGAAAGATGGTCAGACTGAAGGGCTGTCACATGGACCTTGGCTGGGTGGTCCCACCACACAGTTTGCTGTGTCCCCTGTCCTGTGTGCAACTGGAGTTATGGTGTGAATTTTTCTCTCTTCACATCACACTCTGGGGAGGTGAGTGGGTGGGAAAACCTGTGTGGGCAAAACCAAGCACTGGTCTTTGAGAGCAGTGTGGTTCTTCTTTTAAGTCGCCATGACCAGCAGATGGAGAGACTGTTTGTGTCTCACTGGAATCAGAGCAGCTCCTCTGGCATCAGGGATCCCTTTATGGCTATGTGGGGCCTGAATGGAGATGCTGGGTGGCAGGAGCAGAGTGCAGCAGTGTGCTCACTGTGGGAGTGTGTCGTCTCTGAAAACACAGAAGGAGAGGAGTTGGGGGCTAACTATTCATGGATGGAGTGTTCCTGATGGTCAGGAGCTTGTGACCTTGGTGGTGGTGGGAGATTTTTTCTGCCTTTCCTATCTTTGAATTAATGGCTGGTAAAAGAGCAAGGTGTTCCACCAGGCTTGTGTGTGTGAGACACCTTCAATTTTGTCATAAGCTGGTTTATGCCTTCCAAGGTAAAACCAGCTGCATTCAGCTTTTTGAAACTCTTTTTCCTAGTACAGAGTGTTGTGAGGTACACAGAGGTGCAAAGATGTCTCTGAAAATCACTTTTACCCTATCAGTCAAAGTTCTGGGCCTTTGACCAAAATTTGGAACTCCTGCTGGTGTAACCTACTGACCACGGAGCCCACCCTACATCTCAAAGGATATTTTGCATCCTTGCACCTCAAGACACAAGTAGCCCATGTGGCTGCTTTTTCCTTTTCCTGGCAGCAGTACCCAAACAGCCCCTGAATTTTCCATGTTGGAGAGGAGCCTGATGTCAGTGGTGGTGGAAAGAAGCACATGGGCGGGCTGGCAGATGCACCATGTTTAACTCTGAATGGACTAGGGTAGGAAACTTGGGCAGCAGAGCATTTTCATGGAGCTGGCATTGAAAAATCTTAAACCGAAGCTTGATTCATTCCCAGAAATGGCTGAAAACAAAACCTTCCCATTTTCAGTGGTTTTTCATCAGGTTTTGCTCTCCATTTTTCTGTCGTCACCACTTAATAGTCCATTCATACATTTTGTAAGCTCGTTTTTTTCTGCTTTGGTACTGGTTTTCATGCTTTGGGTTTTCAGGATGAGGAGTGCAAACTTGCTGTGGTGTTTGGTGAGGGGAGGAGGGTGAAGAAGGGAAGACTGAGCCTCAACAGCAGGAGGACAGGGATCAGTCTGTGCCCTTGAGAAGGGGACAGTGAGGGGATGGGTCTGGCAGGGTTGAAAACAGTGGGAGGAGGGGACTTGCTCATGATGGGTCCCACACTCACGTGCTTTGCTGATGGAACATGGGAGAGTTTGGGTCTCCCCTCTTCTCCTCTTTGCCACAGTGTCAACCTATGCTGGTGCCACCCTGGTCTCCATCATCAGGAACGAGACCCAGAGACTGGACCAAGCCTGGCCTCCCTGGGAACTGTGGCATCCAGTTGGTCCCAGTTTTTGGGGAGACAGTAATGTTCCCTGTGGTGTTTCATTAATTTACTCCATCCTGCCTTGGTGGAGAGAGAGGAGGGGAGCAGTAGGGGAATTCCAAGAGGCAAAGTTTGGGGCTGCTTTGGTCCCAAGCTGGTCATCCTAGGGAGCTGCGTGCCAGCTGTGTGCTGGGAGCTGCTGAGCACCAAGGGGCTCACAGAAGTTCAGCCATTAGCAGCAGAATTTAAAATAGCATCCACAGGCCAGGAAAAGGGATGGTCAAACATGGAGGGGCTGGGCTGTGGTCCTTGAAAAGGTGCCAGAGTTAAGTGGGTGTGTAGGTGGTCGATCAGCTGGGGATGAGCCACTTTGTAGGGGCAGCTCATCCCCTCCTTGTTCAATGTGGAACTCCTGCTGGTGTAACCCACTGACCAGGGAGCTCACCCTACATCTCAAAGGATATTTTGCATCAAGGAGGGAAGGGATCATTCTGGTTACATTCATCCCACGTGTTTCAGAAAGCGACATTTGTGCAGTGCCTTTGCAGATCAAGCTCTTACAGCCTGAGGAGCAGTTGGGGGCTGTGCCCAGCTGGAGTCACCAGCTCCGTCCTGGAGATGCTGCTCACAAGGACTGGGCACATGTCTGTGCAGGACAGACCTTCTCTGCTCGTGGTCATCCCTGTTTTGGATGCAGCAGGAGCAATGTTGATCCAGTTTGCTCAGTCCCTCCATATCCCATCACCATGTGCTCTGTCTCTCAAGTCAACACTATCTGGAGTTCCTTTGACTAAACGAGCCTCTCTGCTGGTCAGTCGTGGTTTTATTTATATGTTCTTTTCTTTGATCAGAAAGGAAAATATCAAAAAATGAAAAAGGACTCATGTTTCCAATAGCTGTATCTCTCGTAGTTATGAATTTTGAAGCAATACTCGTATCCCTGTGTGTGCCTCTGAACTATCCATTTATTTGTTCAGCTTTTTCAGGTCTGAGCGTGTGAAATATCTCTGAAGAAGATAGCTCTGTATGTGATGGTGTAAATGCATTGTTTGTATGTATCTAAAGTTTAAATAGATTGTACATATGGGATTGTAAATGAACTGTAAACAGCAATCTATATTTTCTTGAATATATTATATAGCAGTATATATTTGTTAAATAAGTATTCTTGTATACTCTTCAATAACCTTTTTAATATTTTGTACAGATAAGTTTATTAAATATTTTATTGATAAATAGACCTCTGCAAGATTTCTTTTTCTTCTGAAGACTTGTGCCTGTGTCGTGAAACCGGATATCAGAACAGCCTTTGTAAGTCACCTTTACTCCTGTGGCTACCTAAGCTGGTAAAACCAAAAATGAAATACCCATTCATTTTAAACTGTCTTCCTGGGCAGCCACAGGTATTTTCCAATAAATAAACTCACAGCACAGTGAGTGTGCAATGGATTTATCATCAAAATGTACATCCCTTTCTGCCTTGTGTTTATGAACACAGTTCACCTGCCTCGACTGCCTTGGGTCTGATAGTTTCGTTCCTCTTAGGTATCACTGGTACACGATACATTGCTTGATGCACCTGAGAGATTGGGCTGCTAATTACCATGGCAGAAAATGCTTCGTTTAAAGTTGGCTTTTCACTGAATATTGGTTTTTTATTAGTCCATTATTCCTGCTTTCAATGTACTTTTTTTTAATAGCTTTGCCTGAGACATAGATTTCCCTGAGACAGGAAATCCTTTTGAGCCAGGGCAAAACCACGACATTTTTATAGTAGTTGAACTTCAAAAGCTCCCTGCTTTCATCCAGAAAGCAGGGAATCTGCAAGATGAGATTAATACATCACATTAGATAAGTGTGTCATGCACGTTGAGAAATGGTCTGTCACGTAATGACACGGCCTTTTTCTCACCTGCTTTCACTGGAACATTACAGTGGCAAACCCAGAAGTTTGAGGGAGAGTGAGTTGCTTTAGCAAATGCTCCTGCAGTGGACATCATCTAAGTGCACTGGACACAGTGAGTGAAGGTAATAGGGCTGTGACTGCCTCTGCTACATCCCTATGCACACGATACTGAGAAGATGCAGGTGTGGAGCAAGGCATATTTGGAAGCACGGAAGAAGTCTTCCAGGCATCAGGTTATATGTTTTAGACAAAGCAGAGCCATCCTCAGCTTTCAAGAGCCAGGAGAAACACATGGAGAACTGAAAAGAGACATTTGCCTGAAGGATTTTAATTCTTACAAGATTGGTATTTTCTAGACTGTCCCTTCCTCTTAAGCACATCCACAAACATATGGCGCGGTTGGGGTGAGGCATGGTCATTTCTATTCTCAGTGGCACGTGGAATGACAGATCATGCATGAGTCAATTTTCAGGCAGTTTTCTGCATCCTCACATGCCCATTTATGGTCCCACTGGCTGAAGGGATCTTTTGGTACAAGTTCTCCAGTAGGCACGCACAGGGAAGCAGGATGGCATTTGCCTCCATGTCCCCCTGTCCACTGTATGAGCAGTTTTACAGGAATGTGTTATCTTAACAAGTTACTTTCAACAGAACATTGAGGGATGAGAGCAAATGGATATTCACAGACCTCCCACCATGTCTTCACTGAAACCAGTGGGAGTGGTGGGTTTGTGTTCAGTGGAGACAGGTTTTTAGTCCACAGCACTTCAGACTACTCATGATTGACAACATAAACTAGTCAGTTCATATTTGAAGGTAAAGGCACAGCAAAGACAGGGGACATGTTGAAGGTCACAAAAGGGTACAATGGAAGAAAATGCAGACCATTGTTAAAAGAGGACATGGTCCGACTCAGGCACTGACTTGGTGACTTTAACCCTAATGCAAATGCCTAAGTCCCTTAGGTAGTAAAAGAATTAGCTGGTGCCTGCCAGGACCTCAAGAGAGAGATCTGGTACCCCATACATTTGCATATCTAAGTTAGACCAGACAGGGAATTTAGACATCCATTTTGGGAGCACTGGTTTATGAACTGCCAAGTTAGGTGAGCCAGTTCAATTTTGCCTGGAGTACCAGTTTTCCTCTTAGCAACTAACCCAAACCTCAGGGAAATTGCTTTCAATGCCTGTAATAACCTCAGTAGGTTTTGGACCAGACTTACTTGAAGCCTCTCATGTACCATCCCACACTGTTCTCCATGGCACAGCCCAGTCCAGAGGTGCCTGGGGAGATCACTGGGACATGTGCTGGTGTGAGGCTCAAGTGCAGTCCCGAAGTATTCTAATAGGAGAATTTCATCTTGGTTTCAATAACTGATACTAGGCAGGCATGTTTTCATTGCTATGAGAACAAATCCGTAGGAATCCAGCTGTGTTGGACTGTCCTATTTTGGTGCAAACTAGTAAGGATATGAGGATAAAAGGAAACTCATCTTGCACGTAGTATTTTTGCACTGAAGCAATTTGTTCATGTCATGGCTCCTCTGTTGCCTGAGTCTCAGCCAATCAATCACTTGGGTCTCCCTAAGCCTATGTGCAATCCTGTTGACTTTACTGAGGCAGTACTGGGGCTGGATCGCTCTGGAGACTTAACATCCTGTGGGTTTGTGGGTGAGAATACATGTTATTTCCCAATAATCAGAGATAAGTTGCAGTACCCCCTGCATGATGAGACCAGATGATGTTAGCAATTCAAGGCATTTATATTCTGGTATTCTGTATCCTGTGAGTTAGATTGGATAGCTGAATCCTTATCAGATTGTAAGGGTGCCTGTTAGGGAAAAGGAGTAGCTAAGTCCTGACACTGGGAAAGCCTAGTTTTTTTCCAATTCCAGGTACAGTCAGTCAAATGTTTTAAACAACATCTTGTGTTTTATCAGCTGTTGCAAACTACTTTCCACAACACAGCTATTTTCCTGCAAGCACATTCTTGCAACAGGCAAAAGCTAGGCCACTGACTATCAGCCTAAGCACTCTGAAACAGTTTTTAATCAAACTTCTCCCTACTGTCTCATCTGAGCAGTTATGCCTGTTCCATAACTTCTGCATGATGCTACTGAGAGCAGTGCTCATGCCTGGCAGCTGGCTTGTGCTGTTACTGCTGTATCTGCTCCTTGTACTCAATCCCCATCAGCTGTTCCAGAAGTATATGCTGTTTTAATAGTTCCTGGTCACTCACAAACCCTCTCTGGATTCTTATTTTGTAAATGTGCCAGGAAAGAGAACATTTGCCTGCAAGTGAAGAGCCTTAGAAACTTACTGTAGCTGGGAGTCTGAGCATGACCTGTGACACAGAGTAAAACAAGTCTCTTGGGTCTAGTAAGTTTATCCAAACCCAGTAATAGTTTGAGTGACTTTATTAATGATAACACTGAACATCTTGTTTAAAGTCTCTGCTGGCAATTAGCTAGACCAAAGAAAGAGATGGGGAGTGGATGCACATATAAACCCATTTTCTGTAAAATAAATACATAAATGACCTCAACTGCAGAGAAGAGATTATCTGCTGTGGCTCATGTATGCAATCTGTCTCCGTGAGTCAAGAATCTGGTGTTTAGCTTGGAGTCCAACTCCAAATTCTTCACCATAAACACTGGGCAAGCACTCGTCCAGCTTCCTGAAGGGACAAAGCTCACTGATCCATGCACTCTATAGCTCATTCAAAGCAGCAAACACAGAGCTGGAGGGAGCAAGGGGAAACACTGGTTGATTATTTTGGAGGGGCTCTGGATAAAAATGCTTAAGCGAGTCAGGTGCCTACCACCCACGGATTTTCTGTGCACTTGGCAGATGTCCGCATCGCATGTGAAATTTGGGGTTTGGAAAGTATTTTTGTAAATTTTGTATGCATGAAGTAATAGAGAAGGTGAACTAGGACTAAACAAGCTATCAAAACAAAGAATCAAGTTACGTTTTACCATAAATGTCTTTATTTTTGTTATTGGAGTTGTGTACTTTTCATAAAAGGTATCGATCTAGCAAAACACTTGCACATGAGTCAAAGTCATTGAACTAGCAAGGGTTACTTGTGTGGTGAGAATTAAGCACAGATGTGAACAACAGAGATTAGGTGCTACAGCATACAGTCGATATATTTGTGATAGGTTTCCCAAGAACTCTTTAAGTAGTTTAAAATAGGCAAGACCCTCTGTGTTTTCACGGTAAGTTGGCACATTTGGACCATAAGCACTTTTGACACTCTTTGCCCGGGGTGACAGTGAACACCACGGGCTTCAGAGGAGCTGGATTCTCATTGTGTAGGATCTGCTCCTCTTAGGAAATACAGCTGTGGAATACGTGCGTGTTTGCAATGAAGAGAGTAGCAAATTTTTAGATCTTAGCCTTACAGTAACAGCTCCTAGGAGGAAGGTAGCAATTGAATCAATATGGTTTTGATAATATTAGAGAAAATTCATTTAAGAAAATTGTAAGGCATTCTCCTGCAGTAGATCTGGTCATCATTGACCAGACCTAGTCCCAGTTTAGGTCTTAATGCAGTCAGTAGGATTTATTATAATGGATTAACAATTGTATAAAAGGCATACACAAGTCAAGTACAAGTATTGCTAAATTAATTCCTCATACAAAGTATACGAATAATGCACTGTAAACAACTGCTTCTCGTAGGTGCTTCAGTTCCCAGGCTTTAATAGTTGCTTGTCATCTTTGGTTAATGCAAGATTTTGTCTGGTCTCAGGAGATCCACCACAACAGCTGAACTTCCACAAACTGAGTCCTCGCTCGATTCCCTGATCCCATATACTTTGAAGAACACGCTTTGTTCAACCAGATCAATGTGTAAACCAAAACAACCAAGTGAAGTGTAGTTTTTTATGTTGCTGACATACAAACGTGCACATGTATATATATATGTGTGTGTGTACATTTATATATCTCCACATATGTGAACGTGCCCCTGGCTCTGCCCCAGGGAGCACCTCGGCCAACAGATGTGTGGAGCATCTGCCCCAAGGCCATCCAACAGGAATGATGCCAACATCTGGGGGCTATTCAAACACACACAGACACAGACAACTATGGATTTCTAAAGTGAGAACAAGGATTGTTTTGATCATGACTGAAAATGGACCTGTAGAAAGAAGGAAAGTCCATGACTCTCCAATAAGCAGAACCAGTTTAATGGGCACAGTCCCTTCACTTCGAATCTGTCCAGTTCTTCCTCACGCTGCTGCAACTGTGGTCTCAACATTTCTGGCTCACTCATCAGTACCATTTCATCACATAGCAGTGTAATCGGAAAATCCAGTGGCTAGTCGCAAAAGCTAAACCAGTTTCTGATACAAAGAAGGTCACTTAAATCCACTGTCAGTCTGCA